GCGACGGTGTGCGGGCTACGGTGTTCGGGCGACGGTGTGCGGGCTACGGTGTTCGGGCGACGGTGTGCGGGCTACGGTGTTCGGGCGACGGTGTGCGGGCTACGGTGTTCGAGCGACGGTGTGCGGGCTACGGTGTTCGAGCGACGGTGTGCGGGCGACGGTGTTCGGGCGACGGTGTGCGGGCGACGGTATTCGGGCGATGGTGTGAGGGAGACGGTGTTGGGGCGACGGTGTTCGGGCGACGGTGTTCGGGCGACGGTGTTCGGGCGACGGTGTTCGGGCGACGGTGTGCGGGCGACGGTGTGCGGGCTACGGTGTTCGGGCGACGGTGTGCGGGCTACGGTGTTCGGGCGACGGTGTGCGGGCTACGATATTCGGGCTACGGTGTGCGGGCTACGGTGTGCGGGCGACGGTGTGCGGGCGACGGTGTGCGGGCTACGGTGTGCGGGCGACGGTGTGCGGGCTACGGTGTTCGGGCGACGGTGTGAGGGCTACGGTGTTCGGGCGACGGTGTGCGGGCTACGGTGTTCGGGCGACGGTGTGCGGGCGACGGTGTTCGGGCGACGGTGTGCGGGCTACGGTGTTCGAGCGACGGTGTGAGGGCGACGGTGTTCGGGCGACGGTGTGAGGGCGACGGTGTTCGGGCGACGGTGTGCGGGCGACGGTGTTCGGGCGACGGTGTGCGGGCTACGGTGTTCGAGCGACGGTGTGCGGGCTACGGTGTTCGAGCGAAGGTGTGCGGGCTACGGTGTTCGAGCGACGGTGTGCGGGCTACGGTGTTCGAGCGACGGTGTGCGGGCTACGGTGTTCGAGCGACGGTGTGCGGGCTACGGTGTTCGAGCGACGGTGTGCGGGCTACGGTGTTCGAGCGACGGTGTGCGGGCTACGGTGTGGGAGCTACGGTGTGCGGGTTACGGTATTCGAGCTACGGTGTGCGGGTTACGGTATTCGAGCTACGGTGTGCGGGTGACGGTATTCGAGCTACGGTGTGCGGGTTACGGTATTCGAGCTACGGTGTGCGGGTTACGGTAATTGAGCTAAGGTGTGCGGGCTACGGTATTCGAGCGACGGTGTGCGGGTGACGGTATTCGAGCTACGGTGTGCGGGTGACTGTATTCGGGCGATGGTGTGAGGGAGACGGTGTTGGGGCGACGGTGTTCGGGCGACGGTGTTCGGGCGACGGTGTTCGGGCTACGGTGTTCGGGCGACGGTGTGCGGGCTACGGTGTTCGGGCGACGGTGTGCGGGCTACGGTGTTCGGGCGACGGTGTGCGGGCTACGGTGTTCGGGCGACGGTGTGCGGGCTACGGTGTTCGGGCGACGGTGTGCGGGCTACGGTGTTCGGGCGACGGTGTGCGGGCTACGGTGTTCGGGCGACGGTGTGCGGGCTACGGTGTTCGGGCGACGGTGTGCGGGCTACGGTGTTCGGGCGACGGTGTGCGGGCTACGGTGTTCGGGCGACGGTGTGCGGGCTACGGTGTTCGGGCGACGGTGTGCGGGCTACGGTGTTCGGGCGACGGTGTGCGGGCTACGGTGTTCGGGCGACGGTGTGCGGGCTACGGTATTCGGGCGACGGTGTGCGGCCTACGGTGTTCGGGCGACGGTGTGCGGCCTACGGTGTTCGGGCGACGGTGTGCGGGCTACGGTGTTCGGGCGACGGTGTGCGGGCTACGGTGTTCGGGCGACGGTGTGCGGGCTACGGTGTTCGGGCGACGGTGTGCGGGCTACGGTGTTCGGGCGACGGTGTGCGGGCTACGGTGTTCGGGCGACGGTGTGCGGGCTACGGTGTTCGGGCGACGGTGTGCGGGCTACGGTGTTCGGGCGACGGTGCGACGGTGTGCGGGCTACGGTGTTCGGGCGACGGTGTGCGGGCTACGGTGTTCGGGCGACGGTGTGCGGGCTACGGTGTTCGGGCGACGGTGTGCGGGCTACGGTGTTCGGGCGACGGTGTGCGGCCTACGGTGTTCGGGCGACGGTGTGCGGCCTACGGTGTTCGGGCGACGGTGTGCGGGCGACGGTGTTCGGGCGACGGTGTGCGGGCTACGGTGTTCGAGCGACGGTGTGCGGGCTACGGTGTTCGGGCGACGGTGTGAGGGCGACGGTGTTCGGGCGACGGTGTTCGGGCGACGGTGTGCGGGCGACGGTGTTCGAGCGACGGTGTGCGGGCTACGGTGTTCGAGCGACGGTGTGTGGGCTACGGTGTTCGAGCGACGGTGTGCGGGCTACGGTGTTCGGGCGACGGTATTCGAGCTACGGTGTGCGGGTGACGGTATTCGAGCTACGGTGTACGGGTGACGGTATTCGAGCTACGGTGTGCGGGTTAGGGTATTCGAGCTACGGTGTGCGGGTGACGGTATTCGAGCTACGGTGTGCGGGTGACGGTATTCGAGCTACGGTGTGCGGGTGACGGTATTCGAGCTACGGTGTGCGGGTGACGGTATTCGAGCTACGGTGTGCGGGTGACGGTATTCGAGCTACGGTGTGCGGGTTACGGTATTCGAGCGACGGTGTGCGGGTGACGGTATTCGAGCTACGGTGTGCGGGTGACGGTATTCGAGCTACGGTGTGCGGGTGACGGTATTCGAGCTACGGTGTGCGGGTGACGGTATTCGAGCTACGGTGTGCGGGTGACGGTATTCGAGCTACGGTGTGCGGGTGACGGTATTCGAGCTACGGTGTGCGGGTGACGGTATTCGAGCTACGGTGTGCGGGTGACGGTATTCGAGCTACGGTGTGCGGGTGACGGTATTCGAGCTACGGTGTGCGGGTGACGGTATTCGAGCTACGGTGTGCGGGTGACGGTATTCGAGCTACGGTGTGCGGGTTAGGGTATTCGAGCTACGGTGTGCGTGTTAGGGTATTCGAGCTACGGTGTGCGGGTGACGGTATTCGAGCTACGGTGTGCGGGTGACGGTATTCGAGCTACGGTGTGCGGGTGACGGTATTCGAGCTACGGTGTGCGGGTGACGGTATTCGAGCTACGGTGTGCGGGTGACGGTATTCGAGCTACGGTGTGCGGGTTAGGGTATTCGAGCTACGGTGTGCGGGTTACGGTATTCGAGCTACGTTGTGCGGGTTACGGTATTCGAGCTACGGTGTGCGGGTGACGGTATTCGAGCTACGGTGTGCGGGTAACGGTATTCGAGCTACGGTGTGCGGGTAACAGTATTCGAGCTACGGTGTGCGGGTAACGGTATTCGAGCTACGGTGTGCGGGTTACGGTATTCGAGCTACGGTGTGCGGGTTACGGTATTCGAGCTACGGTGTGCGGGTGACGGTATTCGAGCTACGGTGTGCGGGTAACGGTATTCGAGCTACGGTGTGCGGGTAACGGTATTCGAGCTACGGTGTGCGGGTTACGGTATTCGGTTTGCGGTTTACGGTTATCGAGCTACGGTTTGCGGGTTACGGTATTCGAGCTACGGTTTGCGGGTTACGGTATTCGGTTTGCGGGTTACGGTATTCGAGCTACGGTTTGCGGGTTACGGTTTACGGTTTACGGTTTACGGTTTACGGTTTACGATTTACGGTTATGGTTTACGGTTTACGGTTTACGGTTTACGGTATTCGAGCTACGGTTTACGGTATTCTAGCTACGGTTTACGGTTTACGGTTTACGGTTTACGGTTTACGGTTTACGGTATTCGAGCTACGGGTTTGCGCGTGACAGGTTACGGTATTCGGGCTACGCGTTACGGTTAACGAATTACGGAAGGACAGTTACGGTGTTTCGGTAAACCTGTTTCGGGTTACAGCGTACGGGTTACGGTGTTCGGGTTACGAAGTATGGGTTACGGATTACCATTCACGGAAAACGGTTTAACGGTTACGGTTTTATGGTTACGGGTTAAGGTTCTCGAGCGACAGGTGTGCGGGTGACGGGTTACGGTATTCGGGCTACGGTTTACGGTTTACGGTTTACGGTTTACGGTTTACGGTTTACGGTTTACGGTTTACGGTTTACGGTTTACGGTTTACGGTTTACGGTTTACGGTTTACGGTTTACGGTTTACGGTTTACGGTTTACGGTTTACGGTTTACGGTTTACGGTTTACGGTTTACGGTTTACGGTTTACGGTTTACGGTTTACGGTTTACGGTTTACGGTTTACGGTTTACGGTTTACGGTTTACGGTTTACGGTTTACGGTTTACGGTTTACGGTTTACGGTTTACGGTTTACGGTTTACGGTTTACGGTTTACGGTTTACGGTTTACGGTTTACGGTTTACGGTTTACGGTTTACGGTTTACGGTTTACGGTTTACGGTTTACGGTTTACGGTTTACGGTTTACGGTTTACGGTTTACGGTTTACGGTTTACGGTTTACGGTTTACGGTTTACGGTTTACGGTTTACGGTTTACGGTTTACGGTTTACGGTTTACGGTTTACGGTTTACGGTTTACGGTTTACGGTTTACGGTATTCGAGCTACGGGTTTGCGCATGACTGGTTACGGTATTCGGGCTACGCGTTACGGTTAACGAATTACGGAAGGACAGTTACGGTGTTTCGGTAAACGTGTTTCGGGTTACAGTGTACGGGTTACGGTGTTCGGGTTACGAAGTATGGGTAACGGATTACCATTCACGGAAATTGGTTTAACGGTTACGGTTTTATGGTTACGGGTTAAGGTTCTCGAGCGACAGGTTTGCGGGTGACGGGTTACGGTATTCGGGCTTCGGGTTAAGGTTTACGAGTTACGGAATGACAGTTACGGTTTTTCGGTAAACGTGTTGCCTTTTACGGTTTACGGTTTACAAGTTACGGAATGACAGTTACGGTTTTTCGATAAACGTGTTACGGTTTACGGTTTACGATTTACGATTTACGGTTGACGGTTGACGGTTGACGGTTGACGGTTGACGGTTGACGGTTGACGGTTGACGGTTGACGGTTGACGGTTGACGGTTGACGGTTGACGGTTGACGGTTGACGGTTGACGGTTGACGGTTGACGGTTGACGGTTGACGGTTGACGGTTGACGGTTGACGGTTGACGGTTGACGGTTGACGGTTGACGGTTGACGGTTGACGGTTGACGGTTGACGGTTGACGGTTGACGGTTGACGGTTGACGGTTGACGGTTAACGGTTGACGGTTGACGGTTGACGGTTGACGGTTGACGGTTTACGGTTTACGGTTTACGGTTTACGGTTTACTTTTTACGGTTTACGGTTTACAAGTTACGGAATGACAGTTACGGTTTTTCGATAAACGTGTTACGGTTTACGGTTTACGATTTACGGATGACGGTGGACGGTGGACGGTTGACGGTGGACGGTGGACGGTTGACGGTTGACGGTTGACGGTTGACGGTTTACAGTTTACGGTTTACGGTTTACGGTTTACTTTTTACGGTTTACGGTTTACAAGTTACGGAATGACAGTTACGGTTTTTCGATAAACGTGTTACGGTTTACGGATGACGGTGGACGGTGGACGGTTGACGGTGGACGGTGGACGGTTGACGGTTGACGGTTGACGGTTGACGGTTGACGGTTGACGGTTGACGGTTGACGGTTGACGGTTGACGGTTGACGGTTGACGGTTGACGGTTGACGGTTGACGGTTGACGGTTGACGGTTGACGGTTGACGGTTGACGGTTGACGGTTGACGGTTGACGGTTGACGGTTGACGGTTGACGGTTGACGGTTGACGGATTACGAGTTATGGTGTACGGTTACGAAGTACGGGTTACGGATTACCATTGCTGAAAACAGTTTTGACGGTTACGGTTTTTTGGTTACGGAATTCGAGCTATGGTTTGCGTGTTGCTGGTTACGGTTATTTGGTAACGGGTAACGGTTTACGAGTTACGGTATGACAGTTACGGTTTTTGGCGCTACAGGTTTGCGGGTGACGTGTTAAGTTATTCGGGCTACGGGTATTCGTTTACGGGTTACGGTTTACGAGTTACGGAATGACAGTTACGGTTTTTCGGTAAACGTGTTACGGGTTACGGTGTACGGGTTACAAAGTACGGGTTACGGATTGCAAAGCGAAAAAAACGGTTACAGTTTTTGGGTTTCGGGGTACGGTATTCGGGCTACGGTTTGCGGGTTCCGGAATTCGATCTACGGTTTGCAGGTGGGGTTTACAAAGTACGGGTTACGGATTACCGTTTACGGAAAACAGTTTGACGGTTACGGTTTCTGGGTTACTGGTTACGGTATTCTGGCTAACGCGTATTTGGTTACGGTTTTACAAGTTACGTTATGACGATTCTTCGGTAAACGTGTTGCGGGTTAAGGGTTGCGGAGTACGGCTTACTAAGTACGGCTTACGGATTAACTATAACGGGTTACCGATTGACGGTTACGGTTTTTGGGTTACGGTTCTCGGGCAACAGGTTTGCGGGTTACGGGTTACGGATATTGGGTTACAGTTTTCGATTTTACGTGTTTACGGATATTCAGTTACGGGTTACGGTTTACGAGTTAAGGAATGACAGTTACGGTTTTTCGGTAAACGTGTTACGGTTTACGGGTTACCGTTTACGGGTTACAAAGTACGGGTTACGGATTACAATGCGGAAAACAGTTTGACGGTTACGGTTTCTGGGTTACGGGTTACGGTATTCGGGCTACGGAGTGAGGGTTTTGGAATTCGATCTACGGTTTGCAAGTAGCGGGTTGCGGGTTACGGTTTATGGAAATTACGGGTAATGCCGTACGGGATATAAAGTACGGGTCACGGATTACGGTTAGGGGTTACGGTTTGACGGTTACGGTTTTTCGGGTTACGGGTTACATTTATCGGGTTAGGGTTACGATGTAAGTGTTATGGGTAAAAAGTTAAGGGCTACGGTTTACGGGTACGGTTTGATGGTTACGGTTTTTTGAATTATTGGATACGGGTTACGATGTACGGGTTACGTAGTACGAGTCACGAATTACCGGTTACGGCTTGGCGGTTTAGGTTTTTTGGTATACGGGTAAGATTTTAGAATTGCGGGTTAAACGTTACGGCTTACGATGTAAGGGTTATGGTATACGGTTACGGATTACGGGTCACGGTTTAGAGGTTACGCTTTTTTTTTGTAATAGGGGTTACGTAATCGGGTTACGGATTACAGTTTCTCGTTTGACGGTTACGATTTTTCTTATACGGGTTACGGGTAACATGTTACGGATTACGTATTATGTGTTTCGGCATGACATTGAAGGTTTTTCGAGTTAATTGTTACGGGCTACGGTAAGTGGGTTATGGGTTACGGTATTCGGGTTACGGTTTGCGAGTTAAGGGTTACGGTTTGACGGTTACGGTTTTCGAGTAACGATATGAATGTAATGGATTACGGGTTAGATTTTGCGGGTTACGGGTTACTGTGTACAGGTAACGGGTAAAGAGTTGAGGGTTACGTTTTACGGGTACGGTTTAATGGTAACGGTTTTTCTGAGTACTGGTTACGGGTTACGATTTGCGGATTACGGTGTATGAGTTACGGATTATCGGTTATGGGTTACGGTTTAGCATTTTCAGACACAAGTTAGGCTTTATGTTTTAGGTTTTAGGTTTTAGATTTCATATTGTGGGTTTTAGGTTTAACGATTAGGGGTTAACATTTTTGGTTTAACTTTTAGGTATAATATTTTAGTTTTTAACGTTTTTAGGTTACGGGTTACGAGTTGCAGGTTACGGGTTGCAGGTTACGGTTTACAGTTTTTGCAGTTTACGTGTTACGTTTTAAGTTTTAGGTTTTAGATTTCAGGTTTTCAGTTTTCGGTTTAATATTTTAGGTTTAAAGTTTAGGTTACTAGTTATGAGCTGCAGGTTTAACATTTTAGGTTTTATAACTAAGGTTTAACGTTTTAGTTTACATGTTGCATGTTGCAGGTTGCGGGTTACGAGTTTCAGGTTACAGGTTACGAGTTGCAGGTTATGATTTCTGCAGCTAACAGGTTCCGTTTTAAGTTTTAGAATTATGGTTTTAGATTTCAGGTTTTCCGTTTTCGGTTTATCGTTTTAGGTTTTACGATTTAGGTTGATCATTTTAGGTTTGACTTTTTAGGTTACGGGTTACGAGTTGCAGTTTACGTGTTACGGTTTTTGCAGTCAAGTGGTTACGCCTTAAACTGTAAGTTTTATGTTTTAGATTTCATGTCCGTTTTAGGTATAACGTTTTAGGGTGAACATTTTAGGTTTAAAGTTTTAGTTTACGGGTTACGAGTTGTAGGTTGCAGTTTATGAATTGCAGGTTACGAGTTACGAGAAGCAGGTTACTTGTTACGAACTGCACGTTACAGGTTACGAATTACGAATTGTCTGTTACGTGTTTAAGGTTACGTTTTACGTTTTTTGCAGTTTAGGTGTTGGGTTTTAGGTTTTAGATTTCTGGTTTTCTAATTTAGGTTTAACGTTTCAGGGTTTCATTTTAAGTTTTAACGTTACAGGTTTAACTTTTAGGTTTAACATTATAGGTTAAACGTTGTAGGTTTTAGGTTTAAGATTTTAGGTTTAACGTTTTAGGTTTAACGTTTTAGGTTTTACGTTTTAGGTTTAACGTTTTAGGTTTAACATTTTAGGTTTACCGTTTAAGTTCAATTTAAACGTTTTAGATTTCAGGTTTTAGTTTTAATGTTTTATGGTTTATGTTTATTGATTTAGGTTTAAGGCTTTAGGTGTTTATATTTAGGTTTTATGTTTTTGGTCTTTGGCGTTTTGAAAAAAATTCGAACTAATGTTGTACTTATGTACTTGCAGTTTCTATAGCAGTTCTTGTTTTAACGAGATAAGGTTGCAAGCCTTATATTTCAACCCCCAACCTGGAGGACCAGTGTGCTAGCTTTGGTCTGATCCCTACCCACGAAGATCTTCCCAGCTTGGTTGAACCTACCAGGAGTTTACACTCCCGCTGGTATAGCTCTTGGGGTCATCGAGATACACAAGCTGCCAAGCCACGACAAGGCTCTAACACCTGATGGCAGTCGCGTGACGGGTTACCGTTTACGTTTGGCGGGTTACATGTTACGGTATTCGAGCGACGGTGTGCGGGCGACGGTGTGCGGGCTGCGGTGTGCGGGCTAAGGTGTTCGGGCGACGGTGTGCGGGCTACGGTGTTCGAGCAACGGTGTGCGGGCTACGGTGTTCGGGCGACGGTGTGCTGGCTACGGTGTTCGGGCGACGGTGTACGGGCTACGGTGTTCGGGCGACGATGTGCGGGCTACGGTGTGCTGGCGACGGATTGCGGGCTACGGTGTTCGAGCAACGGTGTGCGGGCTACGGTGTTCGAGCGACGGTGTGCGGGCTACGGTGTTCGGGCGACGGTGTGCGGGCTACGGTGTTCGGGCGACGGTGTGCGGGCTACGGTGTTCGGGCGACGGTGTGCGGGCTACGGTGTTCGGGCGACGGTGTGCGGGCTACGGTGTTCGGGCGACGGTGTGCGGGCTAGGGTATGCTGGCGACGGTGTGCGGGCTACGGTGTTCGAGCGACGGTGTGCGGGCTACGGTGTTCGAGCGACGGTGTGCGGGCTACGGTGTTCGAGCGACGGTGTGCGGGCTACGGTGTTCGAGCGACGGTGTGCGGGCTACGGTGTTCGGGCGACGGTGTGCTGGCGACGGTGTTCGGGCGACGTTGTGCGGGCTACGGTGTTCGAGCAACGGTGTGCGGGCTACGGTGTTCGAGCGACGGTGTGCGGGCTACGGTGTTCGGGCGACGGTGTGCTGGCGACGGTGTTCGGGCGACGTTGTGCGGGCTACGGTGTTCGAGCAACGGTGTGCGGGCTACGGTGTTCGGGCGACGGTGTGCGGGCTACGGTGTTCGAGCGACGGTGTGCGGGCTACGGTGTTCGAGCGACGGTGTGCGGGCTACGGTGTTCGGGCGACGGTGTGCGGGCTACGGTGTTCGGGCGACGGTGTGCGGGCTACGGTGTTCGGGCGACGGTGTGCGGGCTACGGTGTTCGGGCGACGGTGTGCGGGCTACGGTGTTCGGGCGACGGTGTGCGGGCTACGGTGTTCGGGCGACGGTGTGCGGGCTACGGTGTTCGGGCGACGGTGTGCGGGCTACGGTGTTCGGGCGACGGTGTGCGGGCGACGGTGTTCGGGCGACGGTGTGCGGGCGACGGTGTTCGGGCGACGGTGTGCGGGCTACGGTGTTCGGGCGACGGTGTGCGGGCTACGGTGTTCGGGCGACGGTGTGCGGGCTACGGTGTTCGGGCGACGGTGTGCGGGCTACGGTGTTCGGGCGACGGTGTGCGGGCTACGGTGTTCGGGCGACGGTGTGCGGGCTACGGTGTTCGGGCGACGGTGTGCGGGCTACGGTGTTCGGGCGACGGTGTGCGGGCTACGGTGTTCGGGCGACGGTGTGCGGGCGACGGTGTTCGGGCGACGGTGTGCGGGCTACGGTGTTCGGGCGACGGTGTGCGGGCTACGGTGTTCGGGCGACGGTGTGCGGGCTACGGTGTTCGGGCGACGGTGTGCGGGCTACGGTGTTCGGGCGACGGAGTGCGGGCTACGGTGTTCGGGCGACGGTGTGCGGGCGACGGTATTCGAGCTACGGTTTGCGGGTTACGGTATTCGAGCTACGGTTTGCGGGTTACGGTATTCGAGCTACGGTTTGCGGGTTACGGTATTCGAGAT